ATGAATCGAAGATTATAAAATTCTTTTTAAATTTTTTTTTTTTTTTTTATTTTTTTTTTTTTTTTTTTTTTTTTGTTGAGATAAGGATTTAGATTTCGAGACTCACAATCTTAGCTCAGACAATTTTATAGTTTTTCCAGATTGTTACATAATTTAAAAAAAAAATATTCGCATCGTTTTTTCTGCATAAAAACAAAATATAATTTGTACCTACATTTTTTTAATTTTTTTCACATTTTATAAAAATTTCCACAAGGTAATACTTCAACTTTTACAAGAACTATGGGCAAAAATAGTAATTTTGCTCGAAAACCCATTTGTCGACACATTTTTTTTCTAGGTTGGTATGGGTATCAGTAACATCTATAGCAAATGTTGCATCACTATAATTAATAAATCATTGGTGTTTCGTTTTCGTTTTTCTGAAGTACATMAAGCGCATGCGGCCATTTTTACGATGAGTACAATTATCCAAGAAAGAAATTCTACTAAATTTKACGTGCGGAATCAAATTTTAGTTACCAAAACGTTCATAATGTTGAAAAAGGTCTTCGGTGATAATTTTTAGTCGCGAGTAAGTGGTTTTGATTGGTAGCAATTATTCAGAGGGTCGAGAACGCGTTGATGACGAACCACGTTCAGGACGGCCATCAACATCAACTGATGATCAATAAATAGAAAGGAATTGGTGATTGAGAACTGATTCCAAAACCACTAAATTTTTTCGAAGAGCAGCGTCGGATGTCATGAAACTTATTATTACTGGGTATGAGTATTGTAACTATGCTAATGACCGGGAAGCGGCCAAACTGTCCACAAGGCATACTGTTTGAATTTTATTGGTCATTTACGCAAAGAAGGCCAGCTTTTGCAACACGGAAGTACTATAATACGTAAATAATAAAACACGAAGTACTATAATACATACACGAACGGAAGMAAGGGTTAACGATACAATTTTCTATGTACCCAGAACATACAGATATTAACCACAAAATTCCGGAACTTTTWATATGCTGCAATTAAAATTTGACTCATTAGTTAAAATAAAGAAATCAATCAATAAATATACGAACATACATACATACATAAAAGGTGCTGTAAGGAAAACATTAAAAATATTGAATGGAAATTGAAAAATTKAAATAAAAATACAAATATGTTTAATAATTTTTGTTTTTATTGTGTAGTACAAATAAGTTGCATTCGAAAAATATATAACATTTGTTATTTAGGAAATATTATTATTGATATAACGGTGTTTTTCATTCGATCACGCATATTCGAAATAATGCAAAATTGACTGTTTTCAATTTTTTTTT